AGGGCAGAGGCTTAACCAACTAAGCCACCCAGGTGCCCCTTTCTGGCTACTTTTAAGATTTTCTGACTTTGGTTTTTAAGACTTTGACTCAGGTATGGTTTTCTTCATATTCTGCTGAGGTTTATAGAACTTTATATGTTTGCTTAGAGACTCATATCTTATGTTAGCTTTGGACAATTTTTGACTAGTATTTTTCAAATACTGCCTGTTTCATTTTCTTTACTTTTTTAACTCTAGTTAGTTGTGTGTTAGATCTTTGTAGCATGTTGTATATGTCTTTTTGCTTTTTTGGGGGTATAGTCTCTCCTTTATATCTCTTGGTGTGTCATATTTTGTGTACATTTCTTCCAGTTTACCAAGTCATCTTTTTTACTGTTTCTAAATTAGTGACTTCTTAATTTCATTGACTATACATTCCAGTTCTGGAATTTCCATTTGACTCTTTTAAGAATTCTAGGACTTTGCTGAAATTCTCCATTGATCGTACTTCTTTTTTTTTTTTTGCCCTGAACATATCAGTTATTTTAAGTTCTCTCAGATAGCTCCAAACTGAATGACCTGTGTGTCTTTTTCTGTGTTCTGTTTCTTTTATTTCTCTTAGTTGTTCATCTGTTTTTTTTTTAATTTAGATAAAATTCACAAAAGTCACCATTTTAACCCTTTAAAGTATATAATTCAGTGGTTTTTAGTGTATTCACAGTGCTATGCAACCATCACCAGTATCTAATTCCAAAACATTTCCATCAGCTCAAAAAGAGACCTCATAATTGTTGACATTCAATCCCAGTTCTTCCTCTGCCTACCCCTTGGCAACATCTAATTAATCTATGTTCTTTCTGGATTTACTTCTTCTGGATATTTCATATAAATGGAATTATATGATGTGTGGCCTTTTGAGTTTGACTTCTTTCACTTAGCATAGTGTTTTCAAGATGCATCTGTGTTGGATGCCTGGGTGGCTCAGTCGGTTAAGCATCTGCCTTCTACTCAGGTCATGATCCCAGGGTCCTGAGATTGAGTCCTCCATCGGGCTCTCTGCTCAGAGGGGAGTCTGCTTCTCCCTCTCCCCCTCTGCCCCATCTCCCTGCTTCACTCTCTCTCTCTCACAAATAAATAAAATCTTAAAAAAAAAAACTCATCTGTGTTGTAATATGTATCAGTACTTCATTTCATCTTATGACTGAAGAATATTCTGTTGTATGGATATTTTTGTTTATTCATCAGTTGATGGACATTTGAATTTTTTCTATTTTTTGGCTATGATGGATAATGCTACTCTGAACATTTGTGTGCAAGTTTTGTGTGAATGCATGTCTTCAGTTCTCTTGGGTCTATACCAGAAGTGGAATGGCTCTGTCATATGGTAATTCTATGTTTAACTTTTTGAGGAACTGCCAAATTGTTTTCCACAGTGGCTACACCCATTACAATCCTGCCAGCATGTATGAGAGTTCCATTTTCTCCACATTCTTGCCAACCCTTGTTACTTTCTGTAGTTTTTTTCTTTCTTAAATTATAGCCATCCTAATGAGTGTTGGCTGTTCATTCTTATTTTTTAGAATGCTTTGTAATTTTTCACTGAATGCCAGGCTTACAAATGAACAATTGCAGAGGCTCTACTTGATGTTACGTTTCCATTTGGAAGTGAAGTACTAGATTACCTTGAGCACTGAACGTTGACTATAAGATTTGTTAGGGCTGATATATTTCCATCTTGACCTTAATCTAAGGAGAGCCTTTTTGAAATCTCAACAGAGAGCTTGAGTTGTTTTTGAAGGCCTTTCCAACTTGGTAGAGACTACACTCCAGTCTTTGTTTCTCTAGCACTGGGCAGAAGCTGAAATATTCCACTCAGCTCTTCAGCTTCTGGACCGCTGTGTTATGCTAGTTTTCTTGAGTTTTTGTCCTTTTTGTGGTTCTTCCAATCTGGGACTTTGTTCTTTGGTTTCTAGCTTTCTGATAGCCCAAAACTCTATCTTCTTCTCAGTCCAGTAGGGCTGCCACTTCTGCTTGGGCTCTATTTTCTGTTATATAGCAAATTCAAGGACAAAGCAAAGGTGCTTGTGGAGCTGATCTTCAGTGCTTCCCTTCTCTTAAGAGTTGTAGCCCCTCCTGCTTCTCTCTGCGTATATTGCTCTTCAGTGTCTTCAAACAGTTTTTACATTTGTCCAGATTTTATAACTTTTATTAGCAGGAGGGTTAGTTTGATACAAGCTACTCTATTAAGATGGGTATCTTGAATACTGATGTTTCATTAAGTGCATCACAAGAAAATGAAGAAACTGGTATCTTTTGAGAGTGAGAACGTAAGTTTTCAGCAGAAAATTTGGACAAGAATATAGAAGGAAGGATTTTTATTTTCAAATGAGAGGGTCACGGTCAGCCGTGTTTGAAGGATAGTAAAGTATCATTGCAAATTGCAGTAAGATGTGTGGCACTGAGTTGATGTTTGGTAATTTAAAAAAAAAACTGAACAGAGTCGTTAAGTGTTTAAAGAATCCAAAGTGGATAAAAAATTTAAAATGACAATTGAAGAGGAACTATTTAATAAAGAGCAATTATTTTCTGGATATAGTAGTGAAGAAACCAAGACTGTGAATTTATTTATTTATTTATTTATTTATTTATTTATTTATAAGATTTTATTATTTATTTATTAGAGAGAGAGAGAGAGAGAGCATGAGTGGTGGGGAGAGGGAGAAGCAGACTCCCCACTGAGCAGGGAACCTGACTTGGGGCTCAATCCCAGGACCCTGGGTTCATGACCTGAGCCGAAGGCAGACACTTAACCAACTGAGCCACTCAGGTGCGCTAAGATTATGAATTTTAAGTGGTTGCTATTAGAATAGTACTTGGTTATTTGCGTAAATGTTAGTGATTATTAAATGGTTGGCGATTTGAATATTTACATGTGATGGCTAAAAGACAGTGTTTATCTGTTAAGGGTACCAGAGAGGATTGTGTTCACAAAATCTGGATGGTACAGAAATGCTAGCCATGTAAAAATGTGGGAGGAAGAGGGGCGCCTGGGTGGCTCAGTTGTTAAGTGTCTGCCTTCGGCTCGGGTCA